TTGAGGTCATTGTGTAAACTTTTTTGGTATCCCCAATGATGAAGTGTTCTGTTTATTGATAGTTAAGTTGATTTGGGAAATAATAAAAACAATTAATCCAGAATTAGGTGAAGTAAATTGAGGTCCAGAAATAAGGATGGAGATAATTCATCAGATTATTTTTATGAGTACTGTTGTTGCAATTATTTATTGCCTCTGAACTTGATTTGAAGGCAAGCACCACAGGTCTATATGTAAATCTCCAAATATGATGCCTTCAAAGGGTATACTTTATTTAGAACTAGTGGCCTGGTACACGGATTTATGCACATTGAGAGGAAATTAATTAGAAGAAAGTTTCGTGTGGTAATTCAATTACTGCAAAAAATTACATGTCATAATAGTATATATAATATAGTATTATAAAATTAAAACACATGTGCGATTGGCGCCAGCAGGAGCTTTATATGTATTGCGCATGCGTCAGTCAACATTTATTTTTAAATTGCCAGTGCATGTCATATGTACTGGCCAGTCAGTCAGACGGACCTCCAGTCAGTCACTTAGCCTTTTATATATATACATCTATTTAATTGATTTCAGAGGGCAAGAGAAACATAGAGGGAGAGATAGAAACATCAGTGATGAGAGAGAATCATGGATCAGCTACCTCCTGCACTCCCATTACTGGGGATTGAGCCCACAACCCTGTCATGTGCCCTGACCAGAATTGAACCATCACCTGTTGGTTCCTTGGTCAGCACTCAACCACTGATCCACACAGGCCATGTCCAGATATTTCATTCTAAGTGTGGTTTGGGAAGCAGAGGCCACCACACACAGCTGGCTGCTTGTGGCCTGGGCACTGCTGGGGGCCTCCACATGCCAAGAAACTCAGCTTAGTAATCACCTCCCCCCTGGTTACATTGAACACCTACTATGTGTGTGCAGTGTCCCAGGATGCATGTCTTTCCTGATGTCAGCCAGGAAAGGAGGAAGTCACTACTGACAAATGCATCTCTCTGTGACATAATCTTGTATTTTTTTAAATTAAATCTTTATTGTTCAGATTATTACATTAGTTACTCTTTTTTCCCAACATAACTCCTCTCCACCCAGTTCCCACCCCACCCTCCGCCCTCACTCCCCACCCACTGTCCTCATCCATAGGTGCATGATTTTTGTCCAGTCTCTTCCCAAATCTCCCACACCCCTTTACCCCTCAAGAATAGTCAG